AAATTACTTATATGTCCTAATCCTGGCTTAGGCCTGGTTTCACAGACGACGCTTAGACTAAGACTTTTTAAGGCCTTTATGAATTTAAGGAAGGGTGAATTACTAAAGACATTTAAGACCCACATGATGAAAGATAAAATAAAGTAACTTGTGTAAATTCAAAGTCATAATTTATCATTAAAAAATAGTTGATAAAATGTTTTAAAACTTAAATGTACCATAAAATAAAACATTACATTTTCAATCTGAATCCACTTAACCCAGCCAAACATCATATTGATATACAGCAGCGCATTCTAGGCAATGCACAAAAACGTAATAAAATAAAATCAGAAGTACTCAGCTGATGGTTATTAACTTTATTGAAAGCATCAAGCTCTTAGTACAGATATATTTAGCACATCTTGACCAACCAAGGAAATGGCAAGAGAATTGGAACCGCAAAGTTTACCCTTCCTTCCCAACTTCCTGTGAAAGTCCCGCGACAGAATCCTTTCTATAGAGTTGTCTTACCAACCAACAACACAGGCTAGCAAGAACTAATAGAAAGAGGAAAAAAGGTCCAAATCATCTGAAAAGGTCACTCCCCAGCTCAGAACAGGGTCAGAAAAATGTATATATATATATATATACTTGGTCCGCAACATCAATGTCTCCCCCCTCCACTCATGTATAATGTATAAATCCCACATATAAAGACCAGAAGAATGTTTGAAACTACCACCCCTTCACTGAAAAAGTACTAGGTGTGATATGAGATCATGCTCATGTTATTTCTCCCAGCAGTGGTCCACATCTGACACCTATAGTGTCTGTTAAATCAAACTGAATTGCTTTGGTTTTTTCGCATTTAAAGAGACATAACAGAAACATCCTCCTCCTCACAACTCGGGATCTCCATCAGCAAGTCTGTTACATCGTACGATCAGAAATTAAATGCGGTAATGTTACAAAGGGCTGAAGCAGAGACACGCTAGTCGCCTGCAAGAGCACATGTGAGAAAAACCTCTCTCAATGCACAAAGAGGGCATGATCTGGAGAGGTGTACAAATCTACTGCAAAAAAAATAATAATTAAAACTGCACTTTATGCAGGCGTGGGGTGTGGAATGATCCGGGTCAGCCCTGACATGCTCAGATCAGTGCGTGCCTATTGTGTGCTTACTGTAGAGAAAAAGACCGAGAACTCGTTTTGTTTAGAAAAAGAAAAATGCTTTGCTGTGCGATCGGCACACGAAAGCAAAGTGTCTGTCCAACGGTTTCAATTCAAAGCAGGCTCTGCACTGGACAGCCCCAGGGTCCTTCACAATGACGGAAGGCAAACATTATTCCCTCTTTCCGTCACACACACACACACACACATGTAATGGCTTCTTCTACACTTGCTACATTATTCAGAAAAATCCATTCTTCTATATAACACATCGTGACCTTTCAACTAGCTAATGTTTTTTTTTTTTGTTTTTTTTAAATGCAGCCCATTTTATTTGAGGAAAGGAAGACAACAGTTGACTTTCACCATAATGGCTATATATTGCAGATTATATGTTGTTAACACACAAGGCAACTGTTAAGTAACTCAATCTTTTTAAACATTAACTTCTCTGGTACTTGTAAAGCGGATGAAGAACATCTCTTCAAACAGAATGGAAATATTAGCTACCTGATCGAAGTTCCGCTTAATGCTAACAATCTAACGAGCGTATTACTCAAACGAGAGACGCGTTTTCCAAAACGGTCTCTACAAGCAGAGCAGGCTCTTGACATTGAAGGTGACGGTTAAGCTACTCACATTCACTTCTCTAGCACACCGGATAAAGACAGCCGTCTGCAGGGTTAAAGAAAAGACGACGGACGAGGAATACTTTAGGTTTGTCTTCAGGATATCTTCACAGTCACAGAAAAGTTAGCTAGCTATACACAGCTGAGCTGAACACATACATTGAAAATGAGTTGCGATTTAAATAACCAACGTCACGTGTATTTAAGTCAAGAGAAAAGGCAATGTAAATGGAACCCCCCCCCCAAAAAAACCCCTTTTCGCAAACCGATAAAAAGACGTTGCTTTTGGATTGGTCGGGAGACGAGACAGATCTGAGCGTGTCAGGGTCCTTGTCTAGTGAGGTCGGAAACCCTGTCTGTGGGGGATGCGAGGGGACACTTGCAGGAAGGGAAGGGAGCATTGCATGTACTGGGATGATGGTGTGACATGCCTCACACACACCACCGCCACGTTCAAGAGCTCTACATGCACTTCAAGATCACAGCAAGAATGGGCTAGAATATCTACAGAGACACGAGAAGAGCTTTCATGCACGATATCTACGTCACAGGTACAAGTATGCATAAATGTTAAACTCGGGGAAGATCTACAGCCAGAAGACTCCACGCACAAACGCCGCCAGCCGCACGATTTCTTTTTACGCTTCTTCATTTCGGAGGTTCAGCTCTGCTTCTGCTGGCGGCTCTTGGCGTAACTGGTGAAGACGAAGTTGTAGTCGTTGAAGTGCGCCGACTGGCGGTCCAGGAGGCGGTAACCCTCCAGCTTCTGAGCCGAAGTGAAAACGCTGCGACATTTGGAGCTCTGTTGGGAACGAGAAGGATGAGTGTGAATGCTCCAAATCACAACGTCAACACTGGAAGCCATTGACGGCTAGTCAAGTGTGGAAGCTGCCAATCAGAGCTAGGCTTCAGCAACAATAAATACAACCAAACACCGACTTTGCAGGAGTTATTTTTAGAACACCAAAACAATTTGATACCACACATGTGACCCTGAACCACAAAACCAGTCATAAGGGTCAATTCTTTTTTTAATTGACATTTATTCATCTGAATGCTGAATAAATAAGCTTTCCATTGATGTATGGTTTGTTAGGATAGGACAATATTTGGCCGAGATACAACTATTTGAAAATCTGAGGGTACAAAAAAATCTAAATATTGAGAAAATCATCTTTAAAGTTGTCCAAATGAAGTTCTTAGCAATGCATATTACTAATCAAAAAGTAAGTTTTAATATATTTACGGTTGGAAATTTACAAAATAGTTTCATGGAACATGATCTTTACTTAATATACTAATGATTTTTGGCTTAAAAGAAAAATCAATAATTTTGAGCCATACAATGTACTTATGTGTGCGGTGTATATTTATCATGTATATATAAATACACACACATGCATGTATAAATTTCAGAAAAATAGTTTATGTTCATATATATTAAATATATTTATTTATAATATAAATTATATGAATATAAATATAGACATTTAAATACATGTAAATATTTTCAAAATATATACTGTATGCGTGTGTATTTATATATACACATAATATTCATAGAACACATTATGCAAACAAAAACTTTTATTTTGTATGCGATTAATCGTTTGAGAGCACTAGTAAATATGCAGCGCAATCAATTCACAAGTAATAATTAGTGCTGTCGAACGATTAATCGTATCCAAAATATACGTTTTTGTTTACATAATGTGTGTGAAGTGAACTGTATATATAAATACACACACGCATGTATATATTTAAAATGTTTTATATATAAAATATTAATATTTATATATAATATAAATGATATTTGAATAAATATATATTTACATGTAGACATTTTTTAAATATATACATGCATGTTTGTGTATTTATACATAAATATACAGTACACACACATATCATGTAAACAACAACTTATTTTGGATGCGATTAATCACGATTAATCGTTTGACAGCACTAAATAGAATGTACATTAATAATTAATTATCAATTATTGCAGACACTGATTAGTTGCGCAACAACGTACCTGATTGACGAAAAGCGTTGTCACAAATTTCCCTGGTTTGAAGACATCCACGACTTTGTGGATAAGCTCGTCATAAGACGTCTGGGAGAGGTTGGTTTCAAAGCTGACATAGGAGAACTCCGGTTCGGGGGTGATGTGAATCGTCCAGTAAGTTCCCTACAAAGACAACCAATCTCAATCACGCTGCAGAACACAGAGCAACTTCCTCACAAAGAAACACCCAGCTTTAAATGTCTCCTCACATCCGTTTTCATTCCATTCATGGAGTATCCACAAGGGTTGAACATTGTGGCATCAATCACTGAACCTGGAATCAGGTCACGAATTCCACTCATCTGTGAAGACACCACAGATAAACATTGAAGACACCTTCGCAAAAAACGACTGCGGTGTGCATGTGCACAAACCATGGTACTTCAAAGATGATCAAAGTACTAACACGGCACATTCGGTGCTTTCTGAAATGTGACCCTGGAGCACAAAAGCAGTGTTAAGTCGCTGGGGTATATTTGTAGCAATAGCCAACAATACATTGTATGGGTCAAAATTATTGATTTTTCTTTTATGCCAAAAATCATTAGGATATTAAGTAAAGATCATGTTCCATGAAGATATTTTGTAAATTTCCCACTGTAAATATATCAAAACTTAATTTTTGATTAGTAATATGCATTGCTAAGAACTTAATTTGAACAACTTTAAAGATGATTTTCTCAATATTTTGATTTTTTTGCACCCTCAGATTCCAGATTTTCAAATAGTTGTATCTCAGCCAAATATTGTCCTATCCTAACAAACCATACATCAATGGAAGCTTATTTATTCAGCTTTCAGATGATGCACAAATCTCAATTTCGAAAAATTGACCCTTATGACTGGTTTTGTGGTCCAGGGTCACAAATGTTAGTAGTAGTTTTAGGTGGTAGTTAGTGGTAATTTCCGAAATAAAAGAACACAATGAGACTCTAGAGCAGAAGTACTGAGGACCAATCGTACACGAGTGACATCATTAGCAGAAACACCGTCTTTCACGAAGAACTGGTCCATCACAGCCGGGTCGAGGTCACTCATCAGAACTTCTAGTGTCTGGTCCGCCTGCTTATTCTCCCAGTATTCTGGCAGCTCCAGCGTAAACAAATACCTTCAGGACAGAAAGGAGAAGAATACCATGTAAATGTCATCTAAATGGACATCAGTTGATGAGTTTTTCGCCCAAAAAGCAAAATAATCAAACAGTTTGATTTGGAACAGTTGTATTTAATTATTTATGAAACAATTTTCATAAAACAAACCAGACTTATCCATGCTAAAATGTGGCCTTGCTGACAGAGGAAAAAGTCGGATGCATGTGCAACGTTTAACATTTACTAATGATCATTTATCTGAAGTCAGATATAGATTGTAGGAAGTCTAGTAGATGTAAAACAGCTCACCAGCAGTCTGAGTTCAGACGTCCCATACAGTAGGCTGCTCCATCTGCACATAAAAAATAAAAAAAAACTATACATGTAACTTTCAAATCAGACAATCAGAGGCGGACTTACCCATTAGGCAAAGGTAGGCGACCCCAAAAGCCAAGGGCCCCCTAAAATGCTTTTCATATACGAGATGCGCATTAAGCGCTGACATGAGAATGGTTGCTTTTTACAGTGTTTATCACCACGACAACCGTCTGCGTGTCCGAGTTGAACACACTTCTAGTGTATCCTGCTTGTAGCAAATGAAAATATCATGCATCTGAAGCTGTAATTAAATATTGAGCAACAGTGCGTATTATATGTTTATTGTTTTAAATGCCGCTTACTCGTTTATGAGAAGGACCCCAGTAGAGGACGCATACGCAGTTACTTGTTTGGTTGATATAATCCTTTGGTGGGTAAATGTATGATTTCTATTTTAAAAAAATTTTCATTTTCATTTAAATTTGCAGTTAAAATAACTAAAATAAGTGCATTTTAAAGTTCAGAATTAGACCGCCTTTGGCACACAGGCTTACGCTGGTAACTCATCAGTGGACTTTCCTCCTCAATATAGGCTATATTTTTCTCATTCTCACTAATTCAAGTTTTTCTATGAATGAATCTCTGAAGGGTACGACTGTCTTCAGAAAAGTTTCGCTGGCATTTTCATTTTATCTGGTAACGTAGCGTTTATGAGCGCAGCGCTGCTTTGTTTACAGCCGTTACCGGGGAAGCCGCTGTATTTCTGATGTTCCAAAAGCGCCTCCTGCTGGCAGAGCATGAATGTGCATTTTCAATAATCCCGTCTGCAGTTTTTGTTCAGACCAATGCGAAAATCCACGACTCATCTCTTTTCTTACAAAATGGTTTAAAGTCTCAATTGTGAGGTTTATCATTTTATAATTTATTTTGTTTTTGCGAAAGCTGTAAATCAGTTGCTATTTCGTGGTCTACAGCATGAAAGAAATCCATTATAACATGTACATGAAAAATGTAGAAACCTTGGACACAACTGTGGGGCACCATCGTGCTGCTGCAAGCATCACAACAAAAAAAGGAATATCAAAGGCTGATCTAGGTAAATGTGTGCAAATGTATAGGGCCCCGATTCCTATATTTTGCCTGGGGCCCCCAAATAACTAAATCCGCCCCTGCAGACAATACCAATTTATTACCATTTAATTCATAATGCATGCATAATTCTAGTCCATTTTTTATGGTGTGAAACCGTACTTGGAAAAATCTGGCTGAGGAACTCGACTTCCTCCTGGAAGTTGCGGTGAGGGAACTCTTGATGGGTGGGCTTCATAAAATTTTTACGAGAATAGAAGAAATTCTGAAAAGAAAATGAGATGATCAGGTCACATTTTCATAAAGATACTTTGTGCTGAATACTGCCAATGATTCATCTATGACACCATGTGTAAACGGACTCATTCTCTTCAGTGTGAACCTCATGTGAACTGAACCCGATGTGTTTGACGGAGCTTTTAATGTTTTCATATCTACAGTGTTTGCAGATGATGTGCCATAAATCCTTCCCTAAACATGCACCTGAGTGTGTGCGTGTGTGTGTCGTACCTCGATGGCATCAAAGCCGCAGTACTCACGAGCCAGCTCCAGCAGTGGCACCAGTGCCTGCAGTAAGAGGGTGCTTCCGCATGTCTTCAAAATGAAACGTCTCTTGGAGACAAACATGCTACTCTCACTAGGAGAGGCAGAGAGAGAGACAATCATGTAGGAGTGGTTAATCCTTTAAATCATGGCTCAATTTCCAGTCGCTACATAGATGTTAAATGTTACAGTAAAGTGGGCCATTCACAATATTTTCCATAATCCTTTTTTTTTTTCAATATAAAATGAATCAAAATTGTGAATATCAATGACTTCAATGCACTTTTCCCACATATTTTTTTGCATTACAAAATTGCATTACAAGTTTTAGGAACGAGTTCTCTTGAACGGTCAATTTTAATTAATGGGTTCAAAACTCTGATGCATTTTTGACATTCAAAGGTGTCTATGGAAGCCACCGTGTGGCATGTATGGCTATAATGATGAATAAAACAATGCTAATTATTAGGTCTTCTTCCTTGTTTGACCTGTTTGTTTACTTTCAGGAACTTTAATGCCATTTCAGCAACATTTAAAGTAAAAATCCATCCAGCTTTTTTCTCTCCAGACAGCTATGAATAGCTTTGACCCTTCATCTCTCAGACTAAATAAACGGCTTAGCAGGACGCGTTTAGTCTGCACTGAATCATTAACCCCCATGACTGTGAAACTCACACAAATGCCTTTCATATTAGTCTCATCAGCTTTTGAGCATCTCTAAGCTGAAATGCTGCTGTGTGCTGATTAAAGGTCAGTGTGCAAACAGTACACTCGTAGAAACGCCAAGCTTTATGCTCACTATGTCTATCCAGCAATGAGCCAGTAGCATTTCTTATTATTTGAGCTTTCACACCTGTATCTAGTTTTTAAAAACAACATGAAACAATATTTGCAACTTATGTAACACGCATTTCTGAATTGTGCAATATTCTCGATTGATCTTTAAATCAGCGTGGGCTGTAATGTTGCTATAAATAACCCAAGTTCCTGGTTTGATTGCATTCGTCACAATCCGGTCCTCTAAGCTCAGGGGACAGACGAGTCAATAGCTCACCTGAGTATATAAGCTTCCCGCTTGTCAGTCTTCGTCACACTTATAATCAAACAATGCACATTCTCCAGAAGTTTGTCCCACTCAAATCTGAAAATGCACAGAGAGAGAAATGATTAGATCTCATTATTATTAGGAAACTTGATTCTATTATTTTCTACATGACTCTGAATAGGGAACATTTTATATTTGAAACAACAAAACACTGGAACAATGGCATTTCCAACAAGGCAAATTTAGACACCGTCATTTTCCGGAAAGAATAAATAACCGATTAATTGGCTTATATAGCATAAACTAGGGGTCGACATGCGAACACAGATTAGATGGATTTCATGTTGCGTCTCGGAGGTCATTCGCTGTCCTATAGCTCTCAAATTTCACACATTTGGCACAAAGCTCAGGTGGCCTGTTTATTGCAAGGAGATGGCATTCAAGATCATGAATAAATTGAGGGTTTACTTTGCGTTTATGATCAGATTTTACATGATTCTGCCTATTACAACAATTATTCATACAGTTTGGTTAGGGGGGCTGGGTGATTAAAACGATAACGATAATTATTGCAATTTAATTTTCCTCAATAAAACGATAACAAGATTTTGATAAATGTTCGATATACGGAACAAATCAGCGCAGTGGAGCATTTATCCATATAAAAATGAGGTTGTTACAATTTTTACAGATGTTGCTGTTTTTGATAATGAACAAATTTACATCTGCATCCAAACTCAAGCTACTGTCAAATGTGTATTTCTGAGAGACAAAACAATGTAATATTATAAATATCGCAGCCTGCAATGCAAACTGTGCTGAAGATACACCTCAACGTCAGGAACACAAACCTGTTACATGATCTGAAACAATATCACTCATTAGAACATGCAGAAACTAAGAAATTAATTTTTCTATTAAGATGTTTATTTTGTTAAGGAAAAATGACTGGAAAAGTGTAAACAATTCAAAAACGTGAAGTGTTTGTCATGTTCTGACCATAAAGAGTGGTTTAAAACCACAACTAATGGTCTGGTTTCTACAACTTTCACTTATGGAGCAGAAATCTGCCTTTAAACTGGAGATAAAAAGATTTGAAATTTATCGCGATAATTACCAATATCAACTGATATGAAAACATTTTACTGTGATCATTTTTTGGGCCATATCGCTCAGCCCTAAGCTTAGTGTTATTATACAAACATTTGACCACAGAAAGTCAAATTATTCCAGAGATAAACCAAATTTGCTCAAATTTACCCCAGTCAAATTTATTCAGAAGCTCCATCAATCTCTGCCGAGTCTCCTGGGTTACACATATGGACTAGACTTGTTACTAGGGCTGGGCGATTTTTCAGATTAATTCGTTTTGCCACGATTTTATTTTTTATAAATCGAGGAATCACGATTTTGAACAGAAATATTACCAAACGTTACTTGAATCATGTTGTAGTTGGGTCAAAGACGAAAAAGGGTTTAAGCATAAAAACAATACTGTTTTAAATTATTGTTGCTTTTCCAAAAAAAAAACAAATGTTAAGTTTTCGGTTTCATGTAATTGTATTTTTGTTTTTGTTTCTCCGAGCAAAAAATAAATATCATACATTTTCCCCTGATTTACAGAAGACACCCACTAAAATGTCATTCAGTGTAACAATCTTGTCAGGCATATACATATACAACAAAAATCAATTTATGACATATTAAAAAACTAATTACTTTCACCCCAAATACTAATTGGTTGTTATTTTTATTTTTTTTAATTTGCCACTATCCTAGGTTTTGCCCATTGGTCAGTAAGAATTTTTTACTAATTTAAAACCCAATAAAATTTTATATGCTCACTTATTTTTTAATATATTTTAATATGTACACGTCAGAATAAGCATGCTGTTTGACAAATATTGTGTTACACTGAATGACAATGTAACATTATTTAAACCAAATTTTGACATTTTATTCTTCAAAACCGTATTTGAAACCTTAAATGTAGACACTTTACTTGCATTTAATGTGCTTTCTATGGACATAAAATCACTT